CAGCAGCTGGACGCACAGATCATGGCCGCCCACACAGGCGTCATGGAGGGCCGTGCTCCCCCCAGGGTCAGCGTTCACCTCGGCCCCGCGGAACAGCAGCTCCTCCACACAGCCCGAGTGTCCTCTGCTGGCAGCCAGGCGCAACGCTGAGGTCTGCTTCACCTTGGAGCTCAGCGTCCACATGCCTGACGCAGGGACAGTGTGTGTTAAGTCAAGGGTTGTGTTAGGTTGTGTTTTAAGTTTAGTTTTTGTGGTCGTTTTCTCTCTATTTGTAGTTGCTTTGTGGTCCTCATGTGTGTCTTTGTAGACCTTCTGATCTTTTGTAGTCATTTGAAGTTCCTTTGAAAAGTCATTTGTTGTGTCTTGTGTCACCTTGGTTCTCTTTGTGGTCATTATGGTGTCTTTGTAGTCATTTTGAGTACTTCATTTTTTTTGTTTTTGCATCTATTTGTAGTTGTTTTGGTGTCTGTGCAGCTGCTTTAAGCTTCTTTGTAGACATTTGTGTCTCTTTGTTTTGTCTCTTTTTATAGTCGTTTTGAGTCCCTTCAATGACATTTTTAATTTCTTTGTGGTCATTGTCAGTCCCTTCTTGGGCTGTATACGTGTTCCTTTGAGTGACATTTTGTGGGTAAAGGCCTACATCCTAACCCCTCCATGACGATAAGAAAAAGGTCTTAAATTCCTACCCATCTCTGGAGCCCACACCATGTCTTCATGCACCGTCTCCATCAGGGCGTTGACCATGGCAGCGTCCTTCAGCACCGCATACACTCCTTTCATGTCCCCACACATGAAGGTGTTGTGGACGGCCGTGTCTCTGCACCGGACCGGGGCACGAGGGGCCCGGACCTCCTGCAGTCGCCCCTGCCTGGGAGAAAGCCTGGGGGCCCTGGGTAGCGGGGCCCTGGTCATGGCTCTCCTATTGGCCAACGCTCGCCGAGCATCCTCCCACTCCTGAAGCTCCTGCTCCAGCCTCAGGGAGCGCAGCGAGGTAGAAGTGAACGGAAAGGAGTCCTTTGACATGGCACCTGAAATTCAACCTACAAGAAACGGTAAAAAGAAGACGAGATACTAATCTAACTTTATGTTTCCTCTCCAAAAATAGACTTGTTCTTTAAAAAAAAAAATCTACTGCCACAAACTATTGCAAAGTAGCACAACAGAAAATGTAATAAAAACAAACCTTCTCCAGTGATGAGTGGGACAATGTAGAATACTAAATAAACTCTGCATGTTAAGTGTGTTTCGTTTCTTTTTTGGGTGAATTCATACTGTCAACCTTGTTATTTGAATTACTGAAAGGATCTTATACAATTAGTTTTGTCCTTAGTTATCTTGATTTCTTTAAAATAAATGTTTGGGAGGTTGTATTGTCATTTTATGATACCAATAGTATCATCAGGTATGTGTATATTTTTGCCTTTATTGAATTCAAAGTAGATCTTATGCTTTTACCTTGTAAGTCCACACATCATACTGTTCAGAGAAAATGTCTGCCTCTACTCACCTTCACTGGAGCTGCAGTGAGTCACTGTGGTCCAAGCAAAGGTCAGGTCAAAACTTTCATTATTTAAATCAGTCTTGTGTACCTTTCATGTCAAATATTACAACTCGAAATGACTTTTGCTTAACGGTATCAGTCGCAAGATTGTTGCTCAAACACAACTTCAGCACTAGTTATTATTAGATCAGAATGAAAACTGATACATGTATTAACATAAATGGCCACCAGATGGCAGTATTGATACCCACCAAAACAGTCATCTGATCAAAGAACCAAGAAACGTCAAGATGTATCAAACTTGTCACCATTTCACAGTTTTAAACGTTAACATGAATCTAAAATGTTCCTAGTTTCCTGTTGTTTATGCAAAAGGTTGTCACTAAGCAATGCAATTTAAGTTAGGTTCAAAACCTAGTATAACAATGTTTGGTTTACAACTTTGTCTTGAGCATGTATAATCAGTGTGGAAAAAACACACATGATAAACAGCTTTAACCCGTTAAGCCCTGAGCCTGTTTTTCAGGTTTCAGGCTCGAAAATTCCTCTAACACAAAGACTATATCTTCACTTCTAAAAGGGATAAATTAATAATCTTTTTTCTCAAAGCAAGGTTACATCTGTGAGTTGGATGTAGAAGTGTCAGAATCAATATAGATGTTTTTATTTTAAAATAAATTCATATGGAACATAGTAAAAACATGTAAATTCTATCTCCGCCTAAAAAAAACCCCATTACTTATAGTGAAAACCACCCTTGAATGATGGGTTAGTAGACTAAAAGCTTTAGGAATCCAAACTATAACATATAAGTACCCTGTATCAAGATTGATGCAAAACAAATGAAATTTGACCTTTTTAGAGAGGTTTAGAAAAATAAAGTCCAGGCGGACTCACCTCTGGGTAATTTGGGAACCATCAGTTCCATTTGACCTTTTTCACTGTACAAATCATTGTATTACCACTATAGGTATTCATTCCATCCAAATACAACTGTTGTAAAAAAAAAAAACATACAAAATGAAGTTTGACTCCAATTGGAGCAGATTTATTTAAAACTTTACAATGTTACAACAGGCATGCCACTCCTCGTAACAATTCTTTTTGGAAGTGAAGCACAGAGGGACCTCACACTTCCTGCAGTACACAGCTGTCTTCACCTTCTTTTTGCCAGCATCATGGCAGTTCCTGCAGTTCTTCCTGATACGGACATCTTTCCCATAAAACTTGGGCCCGCATGTGAGTGGTGGTGGGGGTGGGGGTGGAGGTGTTCCAAATTCCAACATTTCAGAAGCAAGCTGCTCCCTGAAAGTCTTCTGTGTGTGTGGCTTTGTCCTGCTGGGGTCACTCGTCATCTTGTGCAGCTCCTTGTGGAGAATGAAGCTGTTCACCACGGCAATGTCCACAAAATGGTAAAAAAAAGTCTTGTACCATTTCATCGTTTTGTGGAGAACGCTGCGTTTTACACATTCATCTGATGCTTTTCCTTTTCCTGGCTGAGGAGCGGGAGCCCCACCTCGGCCACGCTTCCTTTGGTTTACAGATGCATCTGACGCTGCAGAAAGCTGGTAGAAACCAGACGATGGTAGCTTTGGAAGAGAGTGCTTTTTGGGTGCAGGCTGAGTGGCCAATACTGGTGCAGATCTCTTTCTAGAAGTTGAGGAATGTGAGGGTGAGGCAGGTGTGGGCTGGGTGAAAGTAGGCAATGGTGAAGCCATTTCATCCTCATCTCCATCACTATGAAAACAAATGTGGAAAAACAAAGAGATTAGATTAATTCCTGTAATTCCTGTTTCCTTGGCAGTAAACATGTCATTTTGAGTGTGTGAATGCAATACATTTAGTGACTAGATGAACACTGGCCTATACTTTTAGTAAATGTAACAGACAAGAAACACTATTTGGTATTTTTGTAAATAATCCCTCTAACTCCTGCCAAACATGCCATTTTGAGTGTGTGAATGCAATACATTAACTATAGATGAACACTGGCCTATACTTTTAGTAAATGTAACAGACAAGAAACACTATTTTTGTAAATAATCCCTCTTCCTGCCAAACATGCCATTTTGAGCGTACATTACATTTAGCAGACGCTTTTATTTACTATATGAATAATCGTACACCAAATAAATAAGTAATAGATAAAAACAGAGAGATTACATACCTTTCCCGTGGTGGAATTTCATCATCAGAGTCACAACGCTCCGGGTTCCGTTCTGGCTGCAGGGGATCCTTGTCGTCTGACTCAGAATCAACAGGTAACATGTCTGCATCGCTGTCAACATTAGTCAACATTTCTATTGCCTGTAAAGTAGTAAGCATCTCTTTCCTGCAAGCCATTATTTGACAAAAGTCAAAAGTATAGAAAAAGTCCTAAACGCCAATCTTGTAATCTGCTCCGTTATCTGCTGTCCGCTCTGTGCGCTCTGGCGCTCTGCTGCAATTCCTGTTGTTTACGTAGTAAACACGGCGTCGAGTCTGCTGTGTAATGGGTGTGCCGCTGGCATTCACAATTTATACTTTACGCAGGACCATATCTATGGAACCCATTGGTCGATTTGAGTGATTTACACCTTTTTCTTAACCATTAGATCCAATAGAATCCGATGGGCAGTTCCCAAATCCACGTAAACATTACCATTGCGGACGTAATAGAGAAGCAAACGAAGCATATCTGAAAGTACAAGCCTTGACTGCAAAACTTTATACCCAGTTTATTGCCATAAATATGATGATGGATTATCAGTAAAAAATTCTACGTGACACAGACACATTGGATTAACCTTGAGAGGCGTTTTTATTCCGTTGAACACAACTTTTGATCACAAATCAAAAAAGGTAAGATGTAATTATTGTAATATTTTTGAAACCGGATGTTGTTTACTTTCTCTTTTCTGGCTGAAAGCTCCGCAAATTCGGGGTCGTACAGTGATGACACTACATGTATGGAATATGTGGAGTCTCAGCTTTAATCGGATATCTTGTTTGTGCAGTTACGATAAGTAATAAGGGCATTTTGAGAGTGAGTGTTGTGCAAAACTCCGTTAGCATTAGTTAGCATTTTTTCGCAAAATGCTAATTCAAAGGCTTGGTATTACTCTTGTGTTTCTTTGAGCTAAAAATGGTTCATATCTTCAGTTAGCTGAGATTCTTACCGTTAATCTGGTGCTACCATAGACTGTATGGGTGCTACACATTAATAGTTTCATAAATGTTAAGAAGCCCTGAGACATTGTCTCAAAAAAAGAAAGTGGGAGGGGTCCAATGGGGGGATCGCCGTGTTTAAGAGGTTAATCAGATTAAAGTCATAATAAGGATATATCCTTGTAATATTATCCATAATGTTAAACAATATAGAAGTTAGAGTTATTATATAATATATTAGACTATTTATTTTCAGAAAGTTTCTCATATTTTAAGATTCTAAGTAACTACTTTGAGAACGTCAAGTAGGAAAGTTGGAGTGAATCATCTTGCTCTGGTGCAATACTCTTTGTAAAAACACACCTACGTCATTACGTCGTGTTTGAACGTGGCGGCGCGATCCCTAGCAGCAGCTCACCTAAAGTTGATTAGCAGCGTTTTCTTGTAATATTAAAGAATGCGAACAAAACGACATTTTACATTACAATGCAGGTAGTAAATGGCATCCAATCTCTCAGTGAGTTTGGTATACAGACCGATCAAATACGGCTTTAATCGCAATATCTCAGGACTGCGATGGTAAGTGAGCTAAAAAGCAAACTCAAAACAATCTGTGCTAACTAAGCTAACACATGCTAACGTTTAATGCAAAATAGTTTATGACATTTCTTTTTTTTGTTTAATAGACAATCTTTAGCATCTGGTGATTTAAACCTGCATTTGCTGTGAATACATGTTATCAGTGTTTTGTTTCCTGTTACAGACCTGCAAATTAAGTGGCCTGTTCAACATTGGTGAGGACTTTGATGATGAGGTGAGTCCCAGCAACAACACACCTGATGGTACTTAACTGTCAGTGAAACGGTCAGATCATTTACCCCAGTCAAATAAATCCTTGAAGATGTCACTTAGTACAGTAAAAAGCATGTAATAATAATCAAGAAACTATTACTAAAGTACAAGTACTAAATTACTTAGGATGCTGGAATCATAACATTGAAAATATGTCGATCCACTCATTTATTAATACAGGAGTCATTTTAGATATACTTCAATGCAATCACATGGTTGGGTAATTTAAATGATTTCAAACCATTTTATGTTTATGTTTTTTATTTGTTAAGTAACCAATATTGACTGTAGTGCTGTAAAAGTACAAAAGTACAAAAAACAATGTTGACTGTAGTAGTGCTGTACAAAGTACAAAATTCCTGAGGCGATTTACTTTTTATTTAATTTCCTAATAAATGAATGTACAGCTGTAAGAATGAATGTAAGTCTTAATTGCACAAATGAAATGTATGTAAAAATAAGTAGGCTACGAGGGTAACAAATTAAAAAGAGAACAAGTACAGTATTTGAGTAACTATACTTAATAACAATCCACCACTGAGCATGGGCTGCTCCATTTCTGTGACATAATGATCTTCCTTCTGTTGCTGCTTTCTCACACTGTTAATATTAATGTGTGTGTGTGTGTGTGTGTGTGTCCTAGGACCTGCTCGGGACCGACTGGGCTGTCCGCTCAGCGCCTGGATCAGCTGATGTGGCAGCTGCTGTGTCCTCCTGCTCGCTGCGGGCATCCTCTGTTTCTCACAGAGAGCCGGAGAAAAACTGCGTTCAGCAAACTACAGAGAGATCAGCTGCTCTGTGTAACAGCTCGGCATCGAGGAGCAGCACACACACCGCTGCAGCACAAACTGTTGCTCAGGGTTTGAGGCGGCCCTCTTCCTCCTCCTTTTCCTCTGCTCAGACTCATCCTCACACACTGGATAAATCTCAGCCTGCTTTGACACACCAACAGAGTCCTGCCAACACGGCGGGACCGGATGATTTTGATGATTGGGATGTTGACCTGGCAGACCTGGATGAGTGTGACCAGCAGATGGTGCAGTCTGCTGCTCCAGCCCAACCTGCACCTGCGTTTAATCCTGCAACTTCAGCAAAAACACTGCGACCCCCGACAAGCAGCGGACCTAATCGGACCCAGAGAGACTTGAACGCTGCTCCCCAGGCCCCTGGCTCTTCTAGTAGTTACCTACCTACTCGGATCTGCTCCACTCATGTTCTCAGAACTGCAAACCCCCGCCCCTCTCCCCTGTCAGTGCCTCCTCAGAGTCCAAGTGTTTTCTCTGGCCTTACTGTGTCTTCCCCTGCCCCCAGCCCTATTTCCAGGACACTCAACAGGCCCCAGAGACCGTGGGCAACACCAGGACCCTCCCCTCAGGGCCGTGCAATCTTTGAGTCATTCTCCCCAGTGCCCTCTTCCTGTTCCTCACTGAACTCCTCCACCCTCAGCCCTCATCCCCTTCACACACCGGTCCTCACCAACCGCCTGGTGCAGCTGGTCTCAGCCTCCAATAAGCTTCCTCAGAGGAGACCCCGCTCCGATGCCCACCGGCCCAGGACCCGCCGCTTCCCGGGGCCCGCAGGGTTCCTGCCAGAGCAGGTTAGTGTCATCCTGCAGCAGGCCTGTCAGGATAGTTACGTTATAGACACATCGCAGGATTTAAAGACAGGACAATATTATCATCAATGTTATATAATAGTTTTAAAATTACAATAATAAAATGTAAATCGATTTGAAATGAGTATTAAAGTAATTTTTCTCGACAGGCTCAATCAAAGCAGTTTACCTCTCCTTGCCATCTGGAGTTCCTGTTTGTGTATGCCTCCTTGCAGTGTGTTGATGTTGACTGAAAATAAAAGCAACCAAGCAGTGAAATCACATTTAATCTCACCGTCATGATCAGAAATGATGCTGCTGCTGCTGCTCAGTGGTTGTCACCAAAGCTCTAATGGATGACTCCTGTCAAGAGCATCTCATTGGTAAGGTGTGTTTCCATCATGGTGCAGCGGAATAATATAATCCTTCTCTCAGCTTCAGGGTCAGAGGCTGGACGACATCGTGGTTTCTGTCCCTCAGACTCCGGCTCACGGCGCTGTGGCCCGGTCACCAAGCCAGGTAATAAAAGCCATGATTGACATAAGCCAAAAAACATATTGGGGTCACTTTCGCCTCAAATTGTAAGAGTTCAGTATAGAAATGGGCAATCAGACCTTGGATGTACTAATGTACTTGGACAATCTGAAATATATTTGTCCAGTTGCCAGACCAAGAAACATGTGTAATAGCAAATGTGAAGGTGCGACCACGTTCACAGAATTAGCAGAAACACAAGCACACATCCACACATTTGTCAAAATTCAGCCTCCTGGAGACAAAGAGAGCGACAGGGTGGAGAGATGTTTGATGACCAGCCATCACCGCCGACACAGTGATCTAAAGAGCTGCTGGTCACAGTTGGAAACATAAACCTGATATTTTGAAGCCACGGTTACTGTGTGTCTCTTGAGTGTTTAAACGGTTTGACCTCTGTTTTAAAGGGCTCCAGCTCACAGACTGAAGAAGACGAGTTCAGCGGTGGTCCCTGGGCTGCGATGAAAGCAGAGATGGGATTGGACGAGAGGAACCCCTCGTGCTTCCTGCACTCCTACAGTGTGGTCATGGTTCTCCGAAAGGTGATTCATTTTCTGTCTTTCTTTTTTTTTGTTCACCACCATAACCAAACATTAACTTCTGAGACCTTGCAAACTGAACTCTTGGTGTTTCCTCGATCAAACCAAAACACAATTGAAGTCTTTAGAATATCAGAATATTCAAGTGTTTCTTTCCCGTTATTATATTGGAACCGTTTTTCATCTAAAATGGCCCTAATACAGCCTCGTAAACTACAAGTGAAAAAAGCCATCCTAAAACTCTTTCAGTCCATTTAAATAATTTGCTATAAGTGCATCTTTATTCAGGTCAAGTCGGTTTTGTTTGATTTATGTTCCATCATAACAGTGTATCGCTGCTGGAGGTCTCTTGGCATAATCAGGACAAATGGAGTAGCTGTACCAGAGGCTTTTGTAATTATAAACAGAACAATCACTCATCAATCACTCTAATGGAGACTGCTGTTATTCTTCTCTCTCCATGTCTCGATCTCTGTGGAGTAACTCGCCAGTATTCAGTAATAACACACTGTTGGTTTCTGTTGTGGTCTTTGAAACAGACTCCAGTCACATGCCCAGAGTCACTGAAGGACTCTGACTAAGCTCCTTCAGGTTAAGCTTTAACATGAACCTCAGCTTGCCCCTGTTTCAATAAATCAATAAACACATAAACAAACATTCCTCCCAGCGTCTGTTGACCGAAGCATCCACAGTAAATCATGTTCAGTAACGTGTAGAGTTTGTTGTTTTCATTTTTGGTGTAAGGCAGTGATCATTTGTCTAAAACGCATCTTAAAACTAAATAGATCATCTGCAGCGGTATGCATTTCTTTTTCTTTCTCAATGGAACCACCAGCTGACCCCATAAATAGAAGTTTTGTACCAATTTGGAAACGTATTTTCTCACATTTGTATAGATACATTTATGTAGTCCCATAAAATACTGAAAACAATATTTGAAGTTAATAGGGGGGTGAAATATATAGTTAAATACAGTGTGAGCAGTGTGCATGAACGAGGTACGAAATATACATTATTTGTGTGTATCTTATCAGTGCAAAATCCCCAAATATTAATTTAATTATATTATAAATGAAGCAAAGAAGCTAATAATCAATGTAGATAAGACATTTCATCCAGCAACTGTTTGAGATTTGTGCTTGAAAAATGACTTTAAAGGAGAGGTGTCATGGCTATTTCCACTGATCCTAATTCCATTGTTGAGGTCTACTAGAATAGATTTATACTGTGCATTTTTCCAAACTCACATTGGTTTCTCATACAGCATCTCTGTAAACTATGTGTATTCACTGAATTTCACTCTCTGCCTTTAACGGCTCGTTGTAGCTCCAATAGCTCCAGCCCCCACCCTCCCTGTGAGCACAGTGTGCTCTGATTGGTCGGGACGTTGTGAATCGCGCTGAGCTCCGTGGAGGTGTTGTTTCCTTGTTAGCGATACACAGCCAAACACAGCCAAATTCATCCTGAGCACACACAAAGTCACAGCCGAAGTAAAAACAATAAGTGTGTCTTGATATTGAGTAAGAAAAAGGTTGATAAACGCTGTGAGAATGGGTCTGCAGAGAGAATGGGTCTGCAGAGAGAATTTCGCCGCGATCCCAACTGTCTGTTATCAGCCTGCAGCCAGGGAGGAGAAATCAGCAGAGCTGCCTGCTCCCTGCACATAGATGTGTGTGTGAGGAAGTCCGTGGATCGGTCAATTTGGACCAATCAGCGGGGGCTTAACGTAACGGCTCCGCCGACGTAACGTAACGGCTCCACGGATTGGTCCATTTCGTTCCGGGTACGGCATTACATCAGGCCGTACCCGGAAGAATCAAATGGACAATGCCGTATCTCCAACGAGGCGTTTTGGGAGGTATTTTCTGTGTTCGAGTTTTACTCGCTACAGGGTGTACTTTGAGGGTTTTGACTCTGCAGACCGTTTACATGCATAAAAACCTTCATAGCACACAAGGGGACGGGTAATAACCGGAAAAGCATGACACCTCTCCTTTAATAAAAAAGGATTTATTTCTGAACACGCTGTTATTTGATTAACCAGCTCATGTGTGTTGATTGATTTCCTCGTCTTTGTAGGCTGCACTGAAACGGCTGGCGAAAAACAAAGTTCCCAATATGGCCGTGCTGCTGAAGAGCATCATCCACACACACGCTGATGCCAAGGTTGTGTTTAAAGACCCGACAGGTAGGACACACACACAATTTTATTTTATTTAGCCTTTATTTATACAGGTGTAAAATCTCATTGAGACACAAGGTCTCATTTTCAAGAGAGACCTGTCAGTGGTAACACTACCACACAAAGTTACAGACAGACAGGACACTAAACACAGAGGCAACACTAAAATTATTACAATGATTCCTACAGAAATAATGACACTGGCTGGTTGTATAAATAAGGGCTATAATCAAAATGTGGACATTGAAATTGTGTTATGATGTTATAAAACAAGACAACAGACGTTCAAAATTCTCTGAAAACCCCAACAGAAGCTTTGACATTATTAAATAATGAGACAGAATCAGAAATCAGAAACAGCTTTATTACCAGGTGGGTTTACACGTACGAGGAATTTCACTTGGTGTTATGGTGCATACATAAAAGTAAAACAAAAAAACACAGATAGAAAACTATTACTTTAATATAAAAAAGAAATATACAAAAATTCAGCCCTGGTAGAAATGAGTATAAGCTTATAACGTCTGTGTGAATGATAAATAACTGACAGTCGTGTGTTAGGTGCTGGTGAAGCCTCTTTGTCATACTTGAATCACACACAGATACATACATCTGTATACAGCATTCATCCTCTGAAGCTGGAAGCCTCCTTCCTCTTCCCTTTGCCTCTTCTCCTTCCCTTCTCGTCTCCCCGTTGAGCCTTCACCCTTTTTCATCTGATCCTCCTCTTAAGCTTAGCCGGTTGCCATGGCCTCCACAGAGCGGCTACACGAGGTGTGCTGATTATTAACACTCAGGAATGGTTGTTGTACTCAACACAGGACTTAAGGGCTTATTAGTGATTCAATTGCAGTAGATTGGCAACAGCAGTGGGTGGGTTTGAAGTGCTTGTGACACCAGGAGGGAGCGTTCTGTCAGTAATGTCCCTCCCACCTGCTGAACGCTCTCTCAAGCAGGCAAATAGCTCCAAAGCTGCTGTCATCCAGTATATCAATCTTTTTTTATATATATATCCCAATACTTTTTGGTGAAGACTCAGAGTGATTCATATTTAATGAAAACGAATGTTTCCGCATCACACTCGGGTTCTACTGCATCAAATTCAGATGTTCAAAAGGTTTAATGTCATATCATAAACACAACTACGGTGTAGTTATGTAAATAATGAAACACTTGGGTCACATGTTCCTAAACAATGCAAATACAAGACATACAAAAACTAAAAGCAAAACAATAGAAATTGTGCAAGCTCAGGCGTTAACTGTTCCTGAGTCAGGTGGTTTTAGTGATGCTGCGGTACCGCCTGTCTGGCAGCAGACAGAACAGTTTGTTGCTAGGGTGATGGGGGTCTTTTATAATCATAATGGTGACCATGGTGAATGAGACCTGTGTTACCTGCAACATACCCTTTTAAAAGCAAGATCTAGAATGAAGTCGGATAAAGGTGTTGAGTTTTTTTAAATAAAGCATATTTGATCATATTTAGTATTGGAGGTCTAACTTGACCATTTACTTTGGAAATATGGGATGTACAGGAAGTCGACATTTTGGAATGCAAGCTTTCAATGTTTTTAAATGATACTTTTTGTTCTCTTTTTGCACAATATTCTCGGCTGCAGGGGAGATTCAGGGAACGGTTCATCGGCGTCTCCTAGAGGACCGAGTGGAGGAGCTGAAGGTGGGAGCTGTACTGCTGCTCAAACAGGTGGGACTCACCGCTTCTGTAACGTTTAAAATTAAGGTAATGATGAGGAACTGGTTAGGAAACAGTCTCAATGTACTGCTGATGCCTTTCATAAGACCTGCATAAGCAAACGAGACCAAAAGTGAGAAGATTGGCTATTTCTTTAAAGTTATTACCTTGGTTGGTTATTGGCTAATGGTTACACAAGCCAAAACATCGTTATGACATCATAAAGGGGCCAAAATCTGATCAGCTCATCTTCAGACAAGCTTTTATAAAAGTGGATCAGGACAAAAAGTGAGCGAATCTTTACTCTGAAACTTTCAGAATCTCTTCACACAGAGGGGACACATGTTTATGTATAAAAGACATGAAAAAGTGGATTTTGCATAATAGGTGACCTTTAAATGTAAAGTGGTTAACAATCTGACTTGTGGCTGCCTCTGTGGACAGGTGGGTGTGTTTTCCCCTTCCCATCGTAACCATTACCTGAACGTGACGCCCAACAATCTGCTGAGGATCTACGGCCCTGATGGAGTCAGTCTGTCCTCCACTCAGCTCCCCCCGCTCCTCCTGGTGAGCACCCCCGACTGTCAGCTGAAAGCAAAAATAGCACAGCCCAACAAATATCAAATCAGAAAAAATCCTTTGAGCTGACAACACATTTTTTTCCTATCCAGGAGCCGATGTCCCCCGCAGGTCCCCCCCCCACCGTCCTCCGGGAGCCCGTGTCTCGGATGCAGCTGGTGTTTGACGAGGACGATGATGAGGGACAAGAAGGGGAAAAATGCTCGGAGAGACGTGAGGATGCGGAAACCCCAAGAGACACTAGAGCCGCCCCCAGCAGAGAGCATGCTGGGAACACGGCAGCACAGGACTCAGGCTGGGATGCAGGTGGGGGCCTCTTATATGTAATAACACTTGTGAGGAGAGAAAGTGATTAATTCTAGTCACATCCTGGGGTTGACAAGTGCAAACTCCAGGAAAATGATGTTTTGATGAGTGAAACTGAAACACCGTCTGGTAACGTTTCGTCACATTAACATTTGACTCGTTGACCTGAACCCAATCTTAACTGCAGCGTGACAAAAGCTTCCGATTGCATTGTTCTTAACCGAAACTGCAGGTAATCAATGTTTTTCAGTTTGATTAATCTGCTTTTTATTTTCATTATTCGAAATGACAATTAGTCTGATCAGCGGCCAACTCTTTTTTTCTTGTAATAATTATAGAAAACATGGAGACCAGCCAAGCTCCTCATGGGAAACTGCATCATGGATCTTAATGTCTTTGCATCATTCAAAGATCTATCCAGAGTAAAATATTCCAGACAGTTACTAATTACTGTTTACTGATACACTCAGTAAATGTTATGAAATTCTGAAAAATGTAGGATGGTTGGTTCAGTAGGATGCATGATTAGCCGTAGACAAAGACAGATGCTCACTCACGTAGATTGCTGGCAGTGCTCAGCCATTGGACGCTGCCTCGCTGCCATTGGGTAGAGCGCGTGAGCTCATAAATGAGAAGCAATACTGTAAAGAGCTTTGAGTAAGATCATGTACATATATTAACTCCAGAGCTTGTCAAAGTCAATATCATTGAACAATTATGAATGTAATTATTCCCAGAATCCACATGTAAACTAACAAAATCCTTCAAAAACATTCTGTTTAATTCTTATTTCTTGCTATTGAGCTTTTCAAAAAGTTTCACTGCAGTGTTTTTCCGCACAAAAAGGGAGGCACGCACCCGACTCGACCAGGTTCTGTTTATTAAAGAAAATTAAATTATTCTTAAAAAGATGAATCACCTCATTGAAATGTAGGGATTTTGTTCACAAACTTTAATATTTTTATGATGATGTCAAAGATGTTCAAAGCTTAATTGGATACCTCAATAGAAGAACCAAATCGAAAAACACCAATATTTGGCGCAACCTTTACTATCAACCAATCCCAGTGTTTCTATCTCTGTACTCTGATGTCCAATAAGGGCAAACATGCCCAAAGAAGTCTTTTTAGTTTCCTACAAGTTGCATTTGATTTGAATGACACATTATTTAATCTTCTTATCTGTCTGTTGTGCAGATGATGACCTAGATGAACTCCTGGGAGACTTACCTGAAGACACCTACAGCCTCTGATAACCCATCAGCAAACCTCCTGCACACACCGTCTCCACCGACTGGAGTCTGTTACATTTTCCAGTTCATAAATATCACAGAGAAAAGTTAATTTGTTGATGCTGTCATTTCTCTGCATCACTAGTGACGGATTTGTTATAAGAAGCAGTCACTCGAAGCCAACACATGCTCATTAATCACTTGCAAAAGCTCCTGAAATCAGCTGTTTGTTTTCAAATTCACGTCTTATATTCTCACAAAGAATAATTCTGAGATTGTCTGCGTTGGTGTATTTTGGCTGATACTCTTTCATTGTTATCTGTTGTTACACTTTAATTAAGTGACCTTGCAATAAAGGAACCTATCTACAAAGCATTGATTTGGTAATCCTGCAAAAAGAGCCCAAAGAGAGGCTTTTCTGTCAGCCTGCGCTCCATTTTCAGTTGGGATTTTCCGAAGCTTGCAGTGGAGTAGATACACTGTGACCCATCTTGTTTGCCATGCGTTTAGAGGTGCATCTCAGCCACATGAGGATTGCTTGATTAAAAAAAGGGTTTACCAGGCCCTGTCTGTAGAGAGCCAGAGCATCAGAGTGGAGTTACACCGTGACTAACAGGCTCTTATGGAGGCTTTCCCAACTCATCATCTACTCTGCTTCACTGTGAAAAAAAATCTGGTTAATCCTCTGCCTCTTTGTTATTTGGTGTATACTGCAGCTGCTGAAACTGCCTGGACTATGTTTAAAAGAGGAAGTGGGAATGATGAAATGAGGTGCATTGTATATCATCCCAAATGCGAGTTAATTGGCTGAAAATAGAACAGTTTACAATATAGTCTGTAAATGCTTTAAGGCTGCAACTACAGATTATTTTAATCAATAAATCCGCCTATTATTTTCACAATTATTCATTAAGTCCATTCAATGTAAAAAAAAAATAGAACATTTCAAATAAGCATAAACAATGACTTTCCTATAATTTTTTTATTTAGAAATAAAGCCAGCAGGGGGTAGCATTTAACACCCACGCTGGCAGCTCCGGTCCTAGTGGACATCATTAGTTAAGTTCATGAGCTTATGAGACAGCTGAGAGACCTGAAGATAAAACTTTTAATTGGAGGGAAACTTGAATTAAATAGGAGAAGGCTCTTTGAAAGTGCGTGTATGTGCGTGCTCGTTCAGACCGGGTTGCTACTTCTGTTATCTACACATCAACCAATTAAGACCTCCTCAAAAGGGGAAGGAGGTCCGATTCAGCTATTCTGCAGCTACTGATCACACTCTGAAATAATTTGCCCTTCAACTTTAACCGTGTCTTGCCAGAGGTAAAACATCAACTGTGCCCTGTCTTGCCAACTCTGGTACTCACACTTCCTAATTATCTGTCTTGTAAGAGTTTATTGTTTTTCATAAGCCATTAAAATAGTCCGAAAGTGTAGTACTCTTTCAGTCTCACCATGCACTGTCTAATAAATGCCTACTAACCCTTTTTAAGGATTTGTAAAAAATGGTTATCTGTGGTTTGGGTTAGATACCCAAGAGGGTAGAGAACTTTCTCATCTCTGATGTAAAGTACTGCTAACTCTCTGAGATTTCGATGAAGCGGCCTGAAATATCAAACGGCCATCTTTTTTAACAATTGCTCAGCCTTGTGGTTGATCCTTCACAGTCGGAGAATAATTGCTAACTTCATGGTAGAAGGCTGGGATCATGCTTTTTACTGAAATGACTGTCATCTATCAGCAGTGATTACATTTCACCTAAGTTGAATGCATTTTAACATTTATTTTAACTTGAAAATACATGAAGTGAACAGCATTCTTGTATTAAATATTCCTTAATTTGGTGTTCTCCAACATGTTTCTCAGAAAAACTTGTGACAATGTGTTATCTTGAATCATTTGGAAATCTAGCATTGCACAGTTTCTCTAATGCATTATTTTCTGTAGAAATAATATAGAATGCATATTTACATTGCATACAGTGTTGTACTTATATACAAATGGGAGACATTAGACCTTAACCCTGAATAAGTTAAGAAACAAAGCCAACACAGATGCCTCCACACAGGGCAGGAGGGGTCATAGAAGCATTCGGTGAGTATAAATATGATGTGAATAATTTGATTTGGCTTTCATAGTGACCAGATCTTGGCCCAATTTAGCATTTTTGGAAGATTTCCTGGCAACATGTCAGACATGATCATCAAAACACAAAATGAGGGAATAAATTAGCAAGAGTTCATCAGACTTGGAGAATCATTCCCAGGACTGTGGCTCTGTTAGTACTTGGTGGGTTTACTAAAACACTCTTTTGGGGTTTCCTTTAATTAGTCAACACCATCTGCTCTTAAGTACATTTGCTTTGACATCTTTGAACTGTATGACTGATTATCTACTGTCACTGTTAATCCAAGTCAAGAAGGCAAATGAATGCCTTTACTCTGCGGCAGAAAGAATAAACTAAGGCTCATATTTCAGAGTGTTGCACTGCACATTTTAACACTAATATCTTGCAAATTAAAAAGAAGAATATAAGGCTAACAATACTTGCCTTAAATAATCCTGTGGATGGAAAATTGGCTGGATGGATTAAAGGCAGACGAGATTGCTAAAGCATAATTCTCAACCCTGGAGACTGTTTAATCCCTGTAAAACTACTCATTACCTCAGTGGAAAAAGAGGAGATTTGCTTAATTAAGTTGTTAAGAAACCAACAAACACTGCAGCTGTCTTTGACCACAACACATTGTGCACACTGTGTGATGGACTGACAGTGTGTGTGGGTGAAGACTTGTAGAGGGGTGAATTATAGAAAAATTAAAATAAAATGCTCTTTTCAGTCATTATATACTTTTAATTGGGGTTTCTGTGTTGGAGCAAATTGCTGAACTTTGTCTGAAAGCGTGAAGTGATGATCAGATACCATAAAATGAACATTGAAAATAGCCTTTTATACTGACAACGTGACAATGTGTCTTGTATGAAGACAGCATCATATATAATATTTAAAAACATTTCATCATTATAAATCCTGGACTAAAATAAACTATTTTGGTGTATTTGTTTATTCTTGGCTTCAACAATGTTTGATATTTTGGGAAAAGTTGTCAACATTTTACAAATGTGTTTGGTCTGTTACACAAAAATCCATTAACTGCCACTGATATGGTCCATTGTTGTGTCCACCAAAATGTATGCCTGTGTTTTTACATCAGACACCGTTGGACAGATACACTATACTTTGACAGTTTACATTTTTTCCTACATATTTTACAACAGGCTGTCATACTATGAGGAAGTAATAAACAAAATATAAAGAAGTCACAGACTAATAATAATAATAATAATAATAATAATAATAATTGTTAAACCATTAACAGTGAAAGAGAAAACATATTAAGATCCTTTTAGTTAAAGCACACTGTAAAAATACTCCAGTAGCTACAAGAGTAGAAGTCCTGCATTCAGAGCCTTATTCTGGTGTGATAAAAGTATGTAAGTATTATAAGCATTAGTGTTTTAATATATGATGTTTTGCATTAATTTAAAGGGGACCTATCATGCAAAATGCACTTTTGTACGTCTTTTATACATGAATATGTGTCCCGGTGTCCCCGGTGTTTCTCATGGAGCATTTTGAAATACAAGGGTATGAAAGCCCTAAACAATATGTGTGTTTTAATTTCAGTAACACTTTATTTTGAGGGTCACTTGTAGATTATCTACAATCTCTCAACAAACTCAGTAGCATGTCAATAGAACATCTGTTAGTTATATTAGGTTAACCATCTACAGATCAGTAGACCATCAGTAACAAGAGCTGTAAGACTCTGGATGGCAATATCTGTTGAGATTATTAATGCATATCAATTGTACACCAATGCCTTAGCCTTTCCCTATGCAATACTTTAGATTACATCTTGTTCTTATTGTTTCAAAGGCATGGCCAAAGGTTTGCCCTTCAGCCAGTGTTCAGAGTGCCACGACAGAGTGCCAGAATGGATATCTCCCAGGAGAAGGTGGTCAACAGCAGACCAACAGCAGATTGAAGAATCCACAGTGTGGAAATTGTGCCCAATAAATGTATTCTGCACTGAAATGCCTCTCGGTCAAATTGCATGTTTATCTTTTGCAGCCTGGTGCATGAACACACTAACAGTTGTTTTTCAGTAATGTAGCACCTCTTCAAAGACACATTTGATTTGATTTATTTCGAACGTGTAATACAATAAAAAAATATATATAATAAATGTATGTCTACATACAATATACATTTACAATTATAAATAGATTATATCATTATTACTACAATATATATATATATTTACGTTGTATGTCAAATTTGATAAGACAAATATAAAAGACTATCTTTTTACATCTGACATACAAAATACATTTGTTATTAAAAAACATATTAACAACAAATTGTTGTTGTAAAAAATAACTAAAATAAACAATAATAAATATAATAATAAATAAGTAAATGTCTACTTTTGCGATTTTCATGCATTTTTAGATGGTTAATAACAAGCATTACAATGTCTACTTTTGCAGTCATCCAAACAAAACATATTAACAACAAATTGTTGTTGTAAAAAATAACTAAAATAAACAATAATAAATAAGTAAATGTCTACTTTTGCGATTTTCATGCATTTTTAGATGGTTAAAAACAAGCATTACAATGTCTACTTTTGCGGTCATCCAATCCGCTAGGTGGCGATGTTGCAAAACAACTAGGGTCGTGGGAGTGCGGTCCTGAGAGTGCAGCCTCCGATATGGCGCTATATATCTATGTGTGCGCCCGTTGCTTTACAACACCACGAAGAAGAAGAAGCAGCAGCAGCAAAAATAATCGGTAACATAACATTCTAAAATGGAGGAAGCTGGCTTGATTACGCGCATGTTGTGACAATTTCCTGACAAAAATCGTTTTGCATATATTTGTATACAGTCGTGAAACAAACAAGACGACGGTTGTGTGTCTTAAACCTGTTGTGTTTTCAGGAAGTTAACGAGGAGTGTATGCTATCGGTGCTAGGCTGAGAGCTAGCTCGAGAACAAAACAACAAGCTACGGTTTTTTGCTAGCATTGCATGTATTAAAACGGATAACTTGTGTGTTGCAGTGATAATGGCGGATGAGATAGAGCTGAGCAAAGATGAGCTCCGGAATTGGTTAAAACGGAAGGTAAAGATGGACAAGCTGATCAAGTCCGATGTGCTGGAGAAATTGATCCTGATTCAATCTGTGTTGGATCGGAAAATAAAACGGACTTCCGAATTCTTGAAGTCCTGCGAGTGAGCGTTACAACCAATTGCTACTTATTATTGATACCTATTTTTAAGCCCTTTTAAACATAATCAACCACAGAGGAAACCTTTTTAATCTTTGAGGCCCGAATTGGACGGATTGACAGGAGAAACAACTACAAACTTCAGAATATGAAGGCAGCAACATTTTTTTTTAACACATTTAAATGTCTTCTTAAAATTAATGACCTCATATTCCAAACGGTTGTGATAAAGAGTGTTTCAAATTCATCCATCCATTCTAAAAACGGCTTATCCTGGACAGATTTTTGGGACAAAGCAAAGTCTCTAAAGTAATGTTTTAAAAAATAATATTTTTTTATTAAAAATACCTTCTGAGTATTTGAAGTACAGTCAATTTCTGTTCTTTGCTTGATTCGTGTTGTCTTTGTTGTTAATGTGTTCAGGTCTGTGTTGGCATGTGAAGCCATTGTGAAGAAACAATACTCCTTGCTGGGGTTGGAATACAGAGAGACTGATTCTGAGGATAATGCTGATTGTGATGAGGACGATAACATAACAAGCTGTGGTAAGATGCAAATTGTTTGTTAAATGAAAATATTCATGCATGATTTGTCTCTTTTAATTGTGAATTGCTTCACCAATAAACTGACTTATTTTAGTTGGTTTGTTTGACCAGTGATTTTTTAAAATACTTTGTAGGAACATCATGGACGAGCAGTGCAAAACTTTATGGAGGAAATTCCAGAAAACCCTCTATCAGGAAAGAACCAGTGGTGGTCTTGACCAGACTTTCTGAAAAAAACTGGATGAAAACGTTTTGTCATCCCTACTATCACCTGTGTCACTGGAGTTCAATGAAATAAACTGATACATTATTAGCTTGCACATTGTACGGCTCCAAGGTCCACTTATTTATTATACGAGGGAGAGACGCGGGAAGCTAGGGGAGAGCTAGCGGGATATGTGACGGAGAGTGAGAATACGACAGGGTTAGTGGATTGTTTTTGGCGTGGTTACGGCCAACAGTAACCTGTATAATAAACAGTGGTAGTAGTGGTCTAATGGATAGTGAGGTGGGCTGAAGATCGGAAGGTTGTGAGTTCAAATCCCGTCTGGAACACCACCACTAGTGTGCCCTTGAGTAAGGCACTTAGCCCTCA